ACACAAGATAAGACTGCTGAGCTCAACTGATGGTGATCCAAATAACTCTCCTCCTAAATGCACTAGTCGTTCTCCTTGTGTTTCATTGGTGGACTTGTATTGCACCTTTCTAGTCTAGTTGCCTCTGCTATACACTGATCTCAGCACCCTGCTGCTTTTACTCCTCACCACCTTTCGATTGCCACTGTAAGTGTCCTTTTGTAATCTGTACTTACTCTACTAATTGCTATCGTATGATTATCGTTGAACGATATTTTCAATCAGATTGACGTCACTGATCAAAGTAATTGCAATGAGATGCTCTCTGATACATTGACTTAATCTGATCCAGAACCTATACGTCAGTGGGCCACTTGAATGACAAAATAAAACCTGCTGTGATATACAGTATATGTTGGACCCTGGGTCATAGATGTGACGTCATCTTAGATTAGTGGGTATTGCTGCATCATGCAGTGTGATAATGATGCTATTGGTTTAGCCTACAACCGAGGACGTCTCTGTTTGCTGCTGGATGACATTTGTGCGACCCCTGTTTGTTTATCTGAGGGTAACTGAGACGGCTTGTAATCCTGAAGGCCCCCCGAGGGCCCAGCTGTCGTAATCGGGCTGCTCTTGTGATATTCGTGTCATTAGTCAGATGAGGATAAGTCCCTTGATGGGCTGGACTGGAGATGACTCAGGAAACAAGGTATGGCTTTGTCTTGTTGGTCTCCTTCCTGGGCCTGACGGCCCCTTCCTCCTTTAAAGTCCTCCAGAGGGCTTTCTTTATGATTGCTCCCGTCTAACCTCCCAACACCCCCCTCTTCTGTGCGCTTAAAATAGATTTCTGTACTCGTACATAATGTTCCTTTAAAAAAGTAACAATGCACAGTTTCCAGCATTTTTGATTTTTCCATGTCATGCCAAACATTTCGAGGTACCACACAAGAACACACGTGCACATGACTGGGGTGGCTGTCGTTGCACAAAATCAGATCTGAGTTGACAACATGAGTTGACACAGATTATTGGATCTTTAATCAAGCCCATCATTTCAAAATAGGAACCCAAGGAGCAAATTTACAGTCTCCCTTATTTTACTTCAATTATTATGAAACACATTAACCCCATTTTAAGAAATGCAATTGCCTCCCTAAACTCTAACTGATGACATTTAGCTGCTGTTTCTCCCAACTAAATGCTCCCTGTAGAATTGAATCACCGTCATAGTAATGCGGAAAAATTTGGGGCTGCTCTTTCATGTAGAACTCCCATGTGAGGAGTTTGTGACGTAGGCTGCTTGTTTTCGGTCCTGGAGATTTGTGTGTGCTCTGACTCGTTGATTAGAAAACATTCTGTTGATTTAAACACATTTGAGTAAAACCACAAACGAGTATACAGTGCATGCTCACCATTCATATGGCCTAATGGTATCACACCTGCACACTTTGTCTTATGACGGTCACGATATCCATTTTGAGGCCTTTTGGCATCTCTGTCCATTGAGCACTGTTTCAGAGGATCCTGATGATCTGCTGGGTTTAAGATGAGAAATCACATGTTTGTTTTTTAGACTGGAGAAAAACGGCCAGCATATTTTATGGATACTCCTAGAAGCTGCCTTTAAACATAGCAGATTCCTCCCCTTTATAATGATGAAGCTTCCGTCACCCAGTCTGCATGGATGATTGACAAGGAACTCATAACACCATGATAAGAAAGGGATTGTTTTTTGCAGCGTGTTGGTACTTAACTTTTGAATGGAAGTGGTGGGTTTCAGTTGTGCTTTGACTCGTGGGCAACTCTCCCATTCATTCTAGGCAAACTATTGTGATTACCATTGTGTTATTTTTAGAAAGAGAAAGACGGCAAATGAGTGTAAAGGAAATGAGATGAAATGAAGGGAGGGTGATGGCGTGTAAAGATATAAAAGATAAACAGAGAGGGGAAGGGGCAGTGCCACGGCGAAGACCGACGTGGATGAAGACAAAGTCGTGGACGAGCAGACAGAAGTCCATTTGAACATCCGACTGCGTGTCACACAGGTCCATCCTCCTGCAGCTCTAGAAGAAGAAGAAGAAGAAGAAGAAGAAGCTGAGAGACAGAAGACAGTATTATAGGGTCAAAGACAAGAGATCAATAGCAAAGCCCTGCTTTAGACCAGAGGAAGGAGAAGTGCCTTTTTGTCAAGTTACTAACTTTTCACTGAGTAAGTATTGATTGAGATTATGACATTTGATAATGCTTGCCCAGGTTTATCTAGCCTACATATTTCACAACATATTGCATGATTTTTTTAGGCAGTTGGACAAAATACTGTATCATTTATAGGATAAGTGGACAAAATATTGGAGAATCTGTAATTCCCTGCAGAAAACTGTATGAACAAAGTATTTTTTCAACATGATTTTATGTCTTTAAAAAAAATCTATATTTCAAATCTACCATTTGCTGCACTCTGGATAGATCTTTTATATCCATTTGTGCATTGACAGGGACTATTGAAATGTTAATCTTAGATGTTCCTGGATATTTCCAAAATATTAGGAATTTCCTGCTTGCATATATATATATATGTTCTCATCTAATAGCCTCCTGTTTTTCATAAAAAGCCTCAGTTTTCGATTTAAGAGGGATTTGCATATGTAATCAGATTATTGCAGATCAGAAAATTCCTGATGCATAACATCCCGAGAGAAGCCTTGCAGTGTCAGGTTTGTGAAATCTAGAGCCACTGGCTGATCTGTTCTTCTTCTCTCTCTGCAGACAGAGTCCTGACCATGAGGAGTGTGCGTGTGTGTTTCTGCCTGGCTCTGCTGCTGCTGCTGCCTTGGATCGCCCAGAGCCAGAGGAGCTTTCCCGCTTTTGCTAAACTTGACGAGGACACACAGAGGGATGTGCTGGCTGTGTTGAACTCATTGCTCCGATCAGAGCATCACACTGTGCTCCGGCGAGAGCGAGCCCCGCGCCCAGCCTCCCAGGTGCCGAAGAGAGCCCAGCAGGGGTCCCGCTTCGCCCTGTCCCTTGATGTTCCCACCAGCATCCTCAGTGTCCTCATAGACCTGGCCAAGAACCAGGACATGAGAACCAAGGCTGCAGCCAATGCAGAACTGATGGCACGAATAGGCAAGAGGAAATAAGAAGCGGGGCCCCTGGGAGCTGCCGGGGGCTCGATGGACGAAATCTCATCTCACAGAGGAGTTAACTTCTTACATTGTGACACAGGCACCTGGTTAGAAACACTGTTAGTTCAGGTGAAATCAGTCATTACGGTCAGTATCTGTCCTTTAGAGCTTAGATTTGCTTTACTTTTATACTTGCATTGAATTATTATATGATTGTTTTACACCCAAAACCACACTCCATGGGCTGACTCTTGAAACAGAAGTAAATAGAAAGAATGATGTAAAACAAACAAAAGGACACTGCAAACAATGTCAAACAAAGTGTGATGAAGCTGGTATTTTGTCTCAAAGATTGTTCACCCATGGGTCAGAAACTGTGATCAGGTTCTGAAATCTGTTTCCTCTGTTTGCATGTGTAATCTTGAATTCAAAGAAAAGGTTGTTCAATTAAATCCAATGTGATAATCATATTTTTTTTTCTCAAGTCTAATTCATTTCACTCACTCGCATTGATATCAGGCATGCTTAGTATAATTACAAGCATCAGCAACCCATAAAGCACAAATGAATGGGTCTGAGCCGCATGAGCTTGCGTCACCCACAGCCGGGTCTGATATGTGATAACAGGACAAAGACGTGGGCAGGATATTGACCTCTGAAGGAAGAACAGACCCTTTCTATAGACCTTTGTTCACTCATACTTGATGAATTTGGCGAACAAGTCGCAGCTATTTTAAGTCTAATGCATTATCTGCTCTACATTGCACTAATATCTGTGGCATGATTCATCTGTGCTCCTGCAGTGAGCATGAAATATGAAGCAACACAGTGAAATAAACTGCTCATCTGATTTACATCCGCATTTGTTTTGTTTTACGCTGGTCATAACCTGGAATTATTTTTTTTGTACCACTTCAAGCCGTGGTAGTTAAAGACAACACAAATGCAAATATTGCAAGAGATGTTTTTAATATGTTGCAGCGACACTATAAGTACTAAGGCCACTATGAAGTCACTACTGGGCATCAGAGAAACCCTGCAACCCCTGCAGATATACAAACTACCCATGTGGTTGTTACCCCAACTGGAATCAATGAGCACAAGGTTGTTCATGTTTCCATTAGATTGCTGTAACAATACTTTATTTAAGGAAGCCCAAATGGTTTTACCAGGCTTCTTCTACAGATGTTAGGTAATAGGAAATTGGCACTTCTAGAAATCATACTGTTTCTTAAAAATTTAGTAATAACCTAAAACTTTGTTCTCCACTCTACAGTGTGTAGTGTAGAAATGTGCTCTAATGCTGTTGTGTAAATACAAACAAAACATAAAAAACATGTAAATGGAGGCTAATTTGTTTTATGTAATGATTTATCTTCGCTGAGAAATCACAATTTTAAATTAGTCTTTTCAGTTTGAGTTTAAACATTATTCACAGATTAGCCTCGAGAAGTTTATTTCTGCCACAGCTGCTATTACAGGCATTTAATCAAGTATTGTTCTGCAC